TGATTTGGCTTCTCTCTGTCTTTTCTGTAAATATTTTCATGTCAATTGTTCTAATGAGATCTCCTTGGTACATCAATCACCTGAATTTAAGCATACTACTGGATTGGCTGCTAGGTCTCATTGTTTTACTGTTAAAATAGCTAGACATAACTAAGTTCTACTCTAATAGTTTCTTTTCTTGCATTGCTCACCTGTGGAACTCTTCCAATTTTATTGCTTTCCTGCCATCTTCTTTATGTGCCATATCTCTTCAGAACATAGGTGATCATGGCTCTCCACGATTTCTTCTCCTTCATAGCTCTTAATAAATTTATTTCTCCTAAACCTTGTTCTGCCATCCATTTACTCAAGCTCACTAAATATGTTATGCACTGTTTTTCTCTGTCTCTCTTGCATTCAATCTATCCTGTAAGTATCAAGGCCTCTCTCCTCATTGTTTGCTAGAAATTTCAACTGTCTCTTCCTGATATTAATTATAAGCGTCCTTTTTGTTTCTATTTTCTCTAAAACTTTGCCATTACTCACATGTTCGGAATATGGTATTCTCAGCATTCTTATGGAGAACATTTATGTTGCTTCAATTCTCTACTTCATCTTTGAGAAGATTGCAGGTGGCAAAGTGAAAGCTGGATAATCTTTAAAAATTAAAATGCAACATCAATCACCATCTGTCTTATTGAATCCTGTTCTTTTTATTGTCCTTTCTCCTCACTAAAGTCTTCTCATTTTCTTCCAATTTCAGTAAGCTCTTGTGTCTTAGTGGCATTATTAGATTACTTGGGGTGAAATGATTAAAGAAAAAAAAAAAAAAAAAAAAAAAGAATTTCCAAATACCAACACGAAAACAAATTCCTACAAGACTACATACTGTGTAGCTATAAAATCTCTGAACTGGTGTAACTTGAAACATAACTCATCAGAACATTAGAAATAGCAAATCAATAACAATAAGCTTGCCACATTGCATCTGTGAAAAAGTGAGGTGAAGGATAGAAAATAATCATCTGAAAAATCACATAAATGCTTCTGAACTCTTGAGGCTGGAAAAAGGAGATTGTGCAGCTCCAGCCTATATATGATATCGATACTTCATTTTTTTTGCTAGTTCTTATGACCAACCTTCTAGAAACATGGTGAGATAAGTCACCTCACCACCTCCTACCCAAAAAAAGGTCTCTGTAGTTCCAACCACCCACCACTACTGAATCTTTAGTTTCCATCAAACCTGTAATAGGCTGGCCTACGGACAGGATCTGATATCACTGAACCTCAGTTGGGAATCATTTAACCCCTCGCTCTCCTAAAAACTTGCTGCTTGCTACAAATACTTATGTGGAGAAAGGTTAGGGAGAGTGGTTTGTTGTGGGTAGCATCAAGGAGAATGTCTAAACAGTGGTATCTCCAAGTATAACAGCATTAATAGTCCCTACAGACAGACACCAGTGAGATGAGTCCAAAAATTAAAACTAAAATTTAAGCACCATCTGGACATTAAAATTTTGAAGAATAAGAGTGAAAGAAAACTTTAAAAGACGCTATGCCAGTAGGCTTATTCATCTTCTGCCATGACCTTCCTAACTTAAACAATTGCTCTGCCACCAATAAAAAGGCCCCCAAACCTCACTTCCATTATATTCACTAATAAAAAAATTTAAAAAAGTCCCTAATCACATTTAAAGACAAAATTTTATTCCTGTTTCATCTTCAAGAAAAACACCCACAACTTAATGCCAACACAAAAAGACATAAGAACTTGTTTAAGGAAGAAGAAAAAAAATAAAGAGGGAAAGGAAGAAGAAAAAAAATAAAGAGGGAAAGGAAGAAGAAAAAAAAAAAAAGAGGGAAAGGAAGAAGAAAAAAAAAAAGAGGGAAAGGAAGAAGAAAAAAATAAAGAGGAAAGGAAGAAGAAAAAAAAAAAAAGAGGGAAAGGAAGAAGAAAAAAAAAATAAAGAGGGAAAGGAAGAAGAAAAAAAAAATAAAGAGGGAAAGGAAGAAGAAAAAATAAAGAGGGAAAGGAAGAAGAAAAAAAATAAAAGGGAAAGGAAGAAGAAAAAAAAAGAGGGAAAGGAAGAAGAAAAAAAATAAAGAGGGAAAGGAAGAAGAAAAAAAATAAAGAGGGAAAGGAAGAAGAAAAAAAATAAAGAGGGAAAGGAAGAAGAAAAAAAATAAAGAGGGAAAGGAAGAAGAAAAAAAATAAAGAGGGAAAGGAACTTTGGGAAAGATTTCTGCTACACATCCCCAGATCAAGGCTGAATGTCTGAGGGTGAAACTTATGCAAGTTTCATCACCTTGAAGTGAACTGACAGATTCCTTTTTTAAGGAATATCAACTCTTTGCTGGTTATTTAAAGCCAGAAAATATTTTTAGAGTAAGAATATTTTTTTGAGATAATGATTTTGTAATACAGTTCTCACAAAATAACCCATAGCAATAGGGAGAAGGGGTGGATTCATACCTTTCCCAAGGTTATTTGCGCATAAGTGAATATAAACCTAATGGGAATTGGAACTCGGTTCTCCAATTAACAATTCTAGACTTATCTTTTACACCACCTGCACATCCATGTTTAGAGCGCCTGGTATTCTCAAGTGGTCACCCAGTTAGGTACTAACCAGACATTGCTTAACTTTGGTGATCATACAGGAACCGGTTTCAATATGTGACTATAAGCCATATTGAAGTGGAGTAAGGTGTGTTCAAGAAACCTGTTTTACTGCATGTGACTATTAGAATCCTGTTGAGAAAGTTCACCCTATTCTCAATATATCTTGGTGGTTGCTTGAGAGACATTGCGTTCTTGATGGTAGCATAAAGAACAGGTATTGCACTGCTTTATTAGAGTAGCTGGGAATAAGTGGTTGGCAACCTCAAGTCTTTGATTAATTTGTTGTTGGGAGTGACAAGACTCCAAGGATAGATAACCATCCCTAGAAAGGTGTACTTGAGACAGATGCACTTGTTTGTCCCTTTGCTGGCATTGATCTTTAACAATTGGTAATAAAATTAGGATCATTTCCAAATGCTTCACCAGAGGTGTGATTAAGTTACTGTGCAAGGGCAAACATTTAGGGGATGGGATTAGTAATTTCCAGCTCATCATTTGCAGGCTGTCTTACCTAGTCAGATTAGCTCCCAAGAGACTTCTGTTGTGATATACAAGAATATTCAGTACATCCTTCATTTGGTACTCTTGATTGTAGAATAAAAAATTCAACACTGAAATGGTGCTGATCAATTTAAATCAGCCCAAGAATCCATTACAGACCTTTCTTTGGATCTTGTGAAGAATCTCAAGATGTACAGCAGGAACACCAGACCGGTATTGGCCGGTATTTCATTCCTGCATCAAACTCTCGTATGCATCAACCGATATGATAGGAGATGTGAACAGGTTAAGGTCAAAACCTTTAATGTTGTCCACTCTCACTAATGCTCTTGCAATGGAACCATTTCTTAAAATGGTGAATCCAGTCTAGAATTATCCTACTAGGTGCAGTATTTTGCTTATGCCCACAACACAATCATGGTTGTAATGTATCACTTGACAAAATAGACTAGGAAACCCATGGTGTGGAGTGGATAAGACAAATATCAGGAGACAGAGATGAACTGCAATAAGTCCGTTAGTATGCAGTTGGGTACATGACATGTGGTTTCATCACAAAAAATTGGTTGGAAGCTCTAGAGAAGGCCAAGGTTGCAGATAGTCTATGGTCCTGAAGGCATCTTTGATTAAATGAGAGGGTGGAAACATGTATATCTCCCCCATCCTTCTTTACAGACTGTGTATTGAATTACTTTCATTTGTTGAAGGAGTAGTCAAGATTCTTATGGTGTATTGGGAGATGTTATCTCCCACCCATCTAAGAGCAGTCCAGGCATGCCAAGTGTAGAGATTCATTAACATATACTCCACATTAGTTTCCTAGATCAAATGTTTTCACAACATGTAACAGTAAATTCTGATAAGATGCTGTTAAAGTCTTTTTGGTTTTGAGAAGTGCACAATTATATGTCCTGCAGCAAGTATTCCTTTTATCATGGATTTTCTGAAGGTCTTTTGGCTAAGGCTGGCCTCACTGATATTTGGCTGTTATTAAGAAGATATCTTTATAAGAGATGGCATTGAAGATTTCATTGACAAGCTTGGTTTGACAAAAATGGAAGCTTGCTCTCTATGACCTTGGGTGCCTGAGTGGAAATGCCTCGATAAAAATGAAGCATCAGTCACCTGGTTAGTGTTGTGGAATGACTTCTGTTTTCGCAAAAAATCTTCAATAGGACCAGTAATTTTGCTACGATGTGTGTGCTGTGATGAAAGATTACAGGGTTCATACTGGGATGAAAGTTTAAGGACAGTTCTATCTGCAGCAATACAGTGACAAGAATGTGTTCATTAGCTTACTTGGCATTATGAGAGTCATACAACATAGAAGTAATTTTATGAAGCTGTTGAGTTCTCTTCCAAACCTGTTTTGCTCGTTAAGATCCAGTGAACTAAAAATTTTGGACAGAAAGTAGGTAATTCTCAGCAAAATTTGGTGAAAAGTGGGTGTCTATTTTGCACTTGTGTCAAGTGCTGTTTGAATTTAGTTTAGTAAGTGGATTTTGGGCCCCTGAATTATTTAGGTGTCAGCTATGTACAAGTTAGGTTTAGGATTTTATTTTATTTTTTTTTTTTTATTAGTTAGCCAATTTTATTTTTGCCCCCTGTTTAATTTCTCAACCTCTCCACCATTAGGTAACCGATTTATTTTTTACAGCTTATCAACCTTTAAGTTATTTAAAGCCAGAACATATTTAATTTGGGGAGGGGGATGATTTTTACTGAAAGAAATTCTACTAATTAACCCATAGCCGAGTGGGGAAGAGATGATTCTTAAAATTCCCCAGTGGTATTTGCATGTAAGTGAATATAATGAATTTGACTGGAATTGGACCTCCTCAGATTTCCAATTCTAAACTGTTATCCATCATACCACTTGCATATCTAAACTTTTCACCAGGTACTCCAAAATAGTCACTCATCTAGGTACTGGCCAGGCTCAACATTGCTTAATTTCAGTGATCGTATGAGAACTAGTGTTTCAGCATGATATGGTCATAAGCCATTACATGATAGATTTTTTATTTCATTTTTCATAATTGTTATAGTGTTTGAATGAATGCATGATAGTGCAAGTATTTGAATTTTAGTATTTTAAACACCCCCTATTATTTTTATCTAGTTAACTTATTTTTTTTAATTGTTTCACCCCCAAAAAGGTGATAATGCTACTAGAAAATGGAGTTACATCAAATGTAAATGAAAGAACGAGAAGACTAAATGGAGAGGATTGAGGAAAGGACAAAACAGGAACAGGGTTCAAGAAGACAGATGGTAAGTGATATTGCTTTTAAAGATTGTAGTTATCAGGGAAGTGTGAAATCAGAAAGAAGTTTCATGGGTAAGAAGTGTGGGGAGGGGAAAGAAAAGAGTAGAAGTGGCAGTTACATCTAGCTAGTAAAACAGTGAGACCTAAGCTGCCAATCTAATAGTATGCTTGAAATCATGTAGTTGAGCCACCAGGTAAAAAAAAAAAAAAAAATTATCTGTTGCCATAAAAATATCTGTAGAAAAAACAGAGGGCAGCCACATCATATCAGTGAGAAAGTGACTAAAATCAAGATGCCAAGTCAAGATAGATTACATAACAGATTCTTCTTTGAATTTTGCCAAGAATCTTGAGATGTACAACAAGAACACAAGACCAGATATTGTAACTAATCAATGTATGGATGATTTATAAATGTGCAAGATGAATTCTGACGAGAAAGATTTTTGCCACAATTTGTAATAGAACCCCCACACTGTAATGGAACAATAATTTGTTTTTGTTTTTTTTTTTAAACATAAATCATTATAACATTGAAGATATATATTTTTTTTTTAATTGTATGCAACATTTTATCCCCAACAAAATTGCACATGTAGAATAAGTTAGGGCTTCAAAGAGAAATTGTATTACTGCATCTGCAGTCCAACAAAAAAGCATAAGTGAAAAATTTCAAACAAGTGAGTTAGTAAACATGACAAACTAAGTTAAAAAGATACGACAACAAACACCACATCCCCCATCCCTATTTTAGATCAGTGGAGATAAATTTGTGGGATTAATTACAAAATAAATATTCATAGTAAAAGATTGCTTTAAGTATGAAATTGACATTCACCAGCAATGTTGGGTCCTATGGCCATATATATATATATATATATATATAATTTATTGGGGAAGAAACAAATAAATGGATAAATGGGATTTATTTATATTGAATCAATTTTTTTTTTCTATGCATATTTAGTTATTATGCATTTTTGTACAGTTAATTATATGAAAAGTATATTCAGTCATTAGTTGAAGATACAATAAATTAAAAATTTGTATGTGTAAAAATATTTGTTTCTCCCCCATTTCTTGCATGTATGATTATATAACATTATTATTATTATTTTATATGTTCTTTTAAACAGTATTTTATTTTGACTATCAGCCTTATTTACAGAAAAAGAAAATGTGTCCTTCATCAGGATTCAAACCTGTGTTCAAGATTCATTAGATCTTGCTTTAGCCATCACTGCAATGAAGAGCGTCATATTTTTTTCTCTAATAAGATTTTTTGAATGTTCTGACTGGTAGAAGAAATAAAATATTGTTTAAATAAAAAATAAACTGAGTTTTTACTCAAATATGAGTATGCACAAAAAATAATGTTTAAAATAATATACTTCTTTTTTTTGTTTTAGGGAAAAAAAAATATGACAAAGTGAGAAAAGTATTTGTGCAATATGTTTCCACCTTTAGTTCATTAGACTAAAGTGATGTTTATATTGATGCCACTGTACATGTGCACAAAGGAAAGGTGATGGTGAGAATTCTAAAATTTTAAATATATGTGTTTTGGGTATATAATCTAGACAATTTCATTAAGTTTCAGTTGGAGTATATACCCCAACCCCAAAAAAAGAAAAAAAAAGAAAAAAAAAAAAGAATTAATTTAAAATTTCTCTGCATCCTCTTTCCTTCATGCACATCAGCATAAACATCACTTTAATCCAATGACAATTCTGAAGGATGAAATGCATCAGTTGAAACCTTTTTCAACCTTGTCTGTTTTGTTTTCTTATAAAATGGTTTTTGATATGTAAAAAATTTATATCATTTTCCTGTAACTGATAGAAATTTTGATATTTGAATAATTTCTCAATAATTCATCGAGTCTAGAACAAGAATGCTCAATAGAATGCAGAAAGCATTGGATGGCCATTTCATCCTTCTAGGGACTTATCAGCAGTGCGCATCCACTAACAAAAATTCAACCCGGAACATTGATACGACACAAGCATACCACTGGTCTAGTGGGCCTCTGTAATGAAGAGGAAACTAACTGGACACAATATAGCATAGTTACTCCTAATTCTGGTGGTGATTCCCATCCAAGCATACATAACCCACTGGAACTGGCTCCAAGAGCAACTTAGAAGTAGCTGCAGTATATAGTGTGATGAATCCCCAAAAAAAAAAAAAAAAAAAAAAAAAAAAAAGATGAACTGGCCGTCCAATGCTTTCTGTTGAGGATTCTTGCTCTAGATTTGATGAATTATATATATATATATATATATATATATATATATATATATATATATATATATGACTGCCTCTCTGCTAGTCAGTCCCTGTTAGAGATGCCTACTCAGGCACATCAGTGTTTGTTCAACACCCAGAGTTCATTTGTGTTTTGTGTGGTAACTATGAACAAGGATGTGGCACTCAAACCCTCAGTCACAATGGCTTGTGACTGTGTTACCACTGATGAACAGTGGTCTACCCAATTTCATCCATATGAGCTGAGTCAACTCAGTTTTCAGGACATTTCTAAAAGGTGCCACACACTGGAATCACTTGTCTAGACCAATATCAAGATGTCACAATTCTGGCAAATTATAATCATTATTTGCTCTGACCTGGCATCTCAGCTTCAGTCATGTTCCTACTGCCATATCATGGCTTCCTCTATGCCTTTTCTCTAAATACTTTCATGGTAATTGTTCTGATGAACTTTCCTGTATGGTACCTAGACTTTATGAAAGTAAGTGCAGTACTAGACTGGCCACAAGGTTTCATCTTTTTACAGTTGAAATGGCCAAATATAACTAAGTTTTATGCTAACAGTTTCTTCTCTTGCACTTCTTGCTTCTGGAATTATTTTCCAGCTTCTCAGTCAAGTTTGTTCTTCAAAAATTTAAATGAAATGTCAGTCATTTTACTTCTTGTTCTTTTATTGTTCTCTCCCCATAATGTTTTTTTCTCATATTCTCTAACCCTCAGTAACTCGTCACATCTTAGTGGCTTTGTTGCCTTTCTCGGGGTAGGGAGAGAAGGATTTTAAAAAAAAAAGAAAAAAAAAAAAAAAGGTCCATGGTGAGATTTGAACCCAGGTCTCCTGATCTAAAGCGATCATTCTAACCAGACACACAAAACATCTCAAGAGTAAGAAATAACAAACAAAACAAATAAAAAGACAATACTTTTGGTAAACCACTTGTTGGTTGGATTTAGAAATGTAACGACTTTTTTAAAAATGTAAAAAGATTATTTGTTCCCCTTTTATCAAATATTAGTATCTGATAAAAAGACTTGTTAGTCTGGATCTTACCACTAGTATATTTTTGGTCAAAGTAATGGAAGCTAAAGGGAAGCCAAGCAAAAAGACTAATCTACTAAATAGTTCAACATGAAATTGAAAATTGTCTTAAATTTTATATAAATCATTTTTTAATGAAATTATCAATTCACAAATATGTTTAAATGATTATTTGGGAAAAAAAAAAAAAAAATCTTAAGTTTTGGTAGGAATTGGTGGGAGGCATAAAAATCCTCCAATAATAATTTTTAAGTTTTTATACTTGTAGATTGTATCAAAATAAAATTTGAAAATTTCACAGAAATGGCAAAAACCAGCCAAAAATTATCCATGTACCAAATTTGAAACCTGTTGCTGAAAAATCCCATCTATGGGTATTATAGCATAATAGACCAGGCCTTTTATCTAGATGTGGCAAAAGGCCAAAAGAATGGCAATCAATCAATGAAAAGGAAAACTGAATTTAACATCTAGGTGGTAACTACTACTCACCCTTCAGCTATGAGTTAAAACAGTAGAGTGGGGATAGCATACAATATGTGGGTTTTTATCTAAGTGATATAATTTAATACCTAATAGACTGAAATGAGTAAATGCCCCCCCCCTAATTTATGCTTACTTACAGTTTAAATATTTTAAAGCATTCTTGAATTTAAAATTTTTTTAAAATGCAACTTTAATAAAGCCTTTCAAGGAATAGAAGGTGTTAGTAAAGAAAAAATTTCTTTTTGTCTATATATCTCAAAAAAAAAAAAAAAAAAAAAAAAAAAAAAAAAAACAACACCCCTTAATAAAAAAAAATTTGAATTCTTATTCCCTCACTAACTTAAAATATATAATACTATTTGGCTTATAAATAGAGAAAATTAATTTTTTTCCAAAGTTATTCTGCATCACTTGAAAATGGAACTGAACTTTAAATTTTAAGTTTAATTTAAAAATTAGGTCTTGGTTTCAAAACATGGTAATTTCTGTATCATGATGAATACATATTTTTATATATATATATATATATATATATATATATATATATATATATATATATATATATATATATGGGGGAGGACACTTGTCAGCACCAAGTGGGAAAGGTTTATTTCATGCTTGAGTGTAATTTTCAGGCCATGTGTGTTGGCTCAACTATTTATATATGCTGGTCAAGTGTTCATTATGGGTAGCAAGACCTATTGTGTTATCCTAACAATTATTGGGTTGGTGGTAACAGTTATATTTTAAATTCTAGAAACTATTGAGTAGAAATACATGTGGATCCAAACGTGGTTATTTGTAGCTATTGTATAGTATTTGTAGCTATTGTATAGTATTTGTAGCTATTGTATAGTATTTGTAGCTATTGTATAGTATTTGTAGCTATTGTATAGTATTGTTTGTTTGTTACTCTTTACTCATTATTTATTACTTCA